TTACTGCATCGCATCCGCTCTCCTTTACATATTATGTGTTAGTGAATACCCGAACGAAAGGAAAGGGGTCGCTTAGCAGTTTATTACGAGTAAGGGCTAATCTGGCGTGATCCATACATGGACCTAAAAGGAGGAACGAACCGAACCCTCGTGGCACAGTTTACCCGGGAACCCCCATAGGAGTCCCTGTGGCGTGCCATTAGGCGATAAGCTGCTCCGTTAGCCTCGCGATCAATTTGTTCTCGGTCCGGGAAAGGAACCGTTCAAAGGTGACCCTCGACAGAGAGTGCCAGAATGAATGTTTGAAGAGTGCGGCAAAGTGGGACGTGACGCCAATGCCCATATCCATTCGCCGAGATCTAATACGTTGCGTCATCCACCATTTTCTTCCTTTATGTGGAGGGCACAATGGCTGAGGCTGAGAATATCCGTAATGTGGTGCCCCGAGGACTCCTTCCTTGAATACCCGAGGCAGACGAGTAATGGTTCGTTCTTGGCCGACCCGGCCGTAAGTTCTTCCCCCACCAGGACGGAAACTCTTCCCCTTTCTTTCTGCGTTTCTTCGTGGAAGGGGTAAGATGCTTAATTGAACGGGGTTACGTATCAATTCGGCTAAGGTGTCCATTCGGCTGGTGGCTCAATTGGGCTGAACGGACCAATTTGGCTGGGCACTCCAATTCGGCTAAGTTCCCAGTTTGTATCTTCAATTCGGCCAGACGCTGGAACTCAACTAAATGCCCAGTTCGGCTAATCTCTAATTCGTCCAGAGGCTTCTAGCCTTTCCAACTGCAGGAAAATTTTGATTTGCAATCGGAGCATGATGCAGACAGAGTTAAGTCACTTAGGCACATTAGGGGAACCTCAGCCAATCATATAAGTCGAACTTTCCAGCAGGCTCGAGGTGCATGAGCCAAACCGAAGCATTCGGCCGAAATGACGGTTCTAGCCAAACTGGGTATTTAGCTGAATTTTCCCCTTCGGCCAAATTGAACCATGCGGGCTCGTTACCTCAGGTGAGTCGGGATGACACCCTCGCAGAGATAGTGGATGTAAGATAATCTGCGATCAATTGTAAACTATCTTGTACCCGAAATGCTGTTTTATATCAATTTTGGGAGATAATTCATCAAGAGTCCGAGAATTTGGCTGATACGCCTGCGATCATCGGGAGAGGAATCGACAAAAAATTGAAAGGTGTAAAACCATTCCCTCAAAAGTTTTAAGTATTGGGGATTAACTGAAGGAACGAACGTTTTTCCGAAACCTAACGTTTGGTGTCTTTAGAATATTCTCTTATTCCGGACTCGCTCTTGATGGGTGACATTACATGAAGCAAGTAAGAAATAATGCTTGAATTTGGGTTAGTTAATTTGACATTATGAGGTACGCTGCACTGCGAAGTTACACTGAACAAGCACTTAAACTTAAGCTTACAGAAGACGACCTGGTAGACAGAAAAGAACACGGCGTACACGTGAAAGCGCAGACTAACAACTGTTCATTTTCAGTTTGTTCTTCCGCCTTTACACTCGAGTTTTGAAAGATGAAGGTTTGCCTGATAATTCTTGGAGGTAAAGACTGGATGATCAATCTCATCGCGGGCAACTGTACACACCGGTGTTTTAGAAAACGGAGGAAGACGAACATGTACATGAGAATTCGTAGGAATAAGTGGGTTAATGAATGTCTTTGCTGGCCTTTGTAAACATTTGATCTCGATGCACGCGTGTTTCTAAGCTGTGGGTATACCCTATAGAGCTGATATTTACCCATGATGTGCGGCAGGATCTTTTAAAGTAATTATAATTTTCTTTGGTTCAAAGCTATTCATGGCTCGTTTGACGCACGTGCCTTCCTGAAGCCACATGACAAGTCTTGGTTTCGCGCTTGGCCCTGTCTCGTGATCTATTGATAGTCCGAAGTAGAGCTTCGCAGCTGCATCTTGCACAATGCGCTGCAACGTTACCAAGTGCTTGCAGCTGCCTGGAGACGTGCCTGTGCTCTTCAATAGTTTCTCGTGTAAACTTCTCCCCATGTCTCCGATGCAAGATTTTTCCGGTTATACCCACGACTTCTCATGTACATATTCTACTTCCAAAACTCCAGCCTTTCTTTTATTTTGCGAATACATGCACCGGTGTTTTTAATTGCCCGCGATGACCATTAGTCATCCAGATTTTAACACCCAGAATTATCAGGCAAATCTTTGTCTTTCAAAATTCGCGTGTAGGAGAGGACGAAGAAGACGGAAAATGAACACATACGCTTTCACGTCCTTTTTTTTTTTTCTGTCTATCATATCGTCTTCGCTGAGCTTATATTTTACCTGCTTGTTCAGGGTAACTTCGCAGCGCAGCATATACCTTATAAGTGGGAAACGCTGCACATAGCCTCTTCAAAGCTGCATCGTCTGTTAGTCGGGAGTTTTACAAGATGATTGTGTCGGTCCCAGAAACAGCTCCGTGCGCGGGTTTTAAAGCGTGCTTCTGAGAGGCAGAGCAAGCTGTTTATACGAATATCGTTAAAAAATAAAAAAAATATACAATTTCATAAATATCCACAATAACGACATGAACTTTCCGAATTATTTAGGATATACACGCAACTTATTAAACGACGGGTCTTTGTAAACCTCCGTGCTTCTTCAATTTGACTATTCGACTAGTCCAAGCCATGCACAATTTTCAAGTGCAGCTCCTTTTCGCTAAATTAAAGAACGAAACACTGCTTCCATTTTAAGATGCATTACCTTACAGAAAAGAACAAAGAAAGAAAGACTGGACGAAGAAAAGGGGAAGGGGATAGTAGTATATTATGATAGAATAATTTTTCACACCCTCGTCTTTCTTCGGGCCAGCAACAAATGTTTAAACCTTGCCCCATGCTCAAACACAAAGATAAAGTGGATTAAATAAAAACAAATCACACTGTCGCCTTTCAGCAGCACTTGCTTTGTTTCGGAACGACGCGGTTGACTGCACCAAATTTTTTGGGACGACGGTGTCAGCACCCGGTCTCTATTCCGCAAAGACAAATTTCGGGTCAAAAATAAGTTTTTGCGTAGATCCTCCACAGCATACCTTGACAAACGCCTGCTTTTTTAATTCACAAAGAGGAATGTTTCATATATGCCTTTCATAATTAACATACTCTTTAATTCTCCCAATCCGTTTCACCTTGTCAAAATAAACCACATAGAAAAAAAAAAAAAAAACTTCGTATAATTTGCATTGGGCAATTATTTCAACCGCGGTCTAGAGTCAGGAAATTACGCTACACGTCGACCATTGGTCGAGTCGTAATTGATCCTTCACTGCTAGGCCGAGGGTCATTCGTATGCACGGAATTTATTTATTTATTTAACAAGACTGCAGGTCCCGCTAAGGTCCCGGCAGAGGTGGACTTATAATACGTAGTAGAGGACATAACAAAAAAGGGAAAACTTCAATACAATGAAACAACGCTCAAACACCAAAAAAAAGAAAAAAAAAAAAAGAAGAGCATGCATCTATTTCACGCGAAGATGGAGGACCAGCGAAGCTGTTATCTTTACAACAACTTACGAAAAAACCCACATACCACATCTATACGATTTTCACTTCGTTGTTTCCGATTGAGACTAAATCTCTTTATCGGCATCGCGGAAACGAAAGAAAAGTAGGTTAGATCGGCGCGTTCTGCCCTTAGCCTCGTCAGAGCGCACTCTTAGCTGCGATAAGTCGGTGACCGTAGATGATAACAAGGGATCAGGACCTCACTATGTAATAATGCCAAGGAAGGCTGACTCCCGCGGGTTGCCCCCTCTTTTTGTTTATACTGGCCACGACCAATCGGGTCAAAAGAGCGCCGTTTAAACGAAGTTTCGTCCAGACCCCCCCCCCCCCCAAAAAAAAACAAAAAAACTTGTAGAGCTTGTAGCTGTATAAGGAAGTCATCCGGCGATGAGCTGCCAACGATCTCTTTAGGGAGTCCATTCCAATCCGTTAGTGTTTTTGAAAATGTATTCTAACTGCGGTATGGCTCCAGTAATCTTCCGTGATTGAATCGCGTGTTTCGACGTAAAACGGGTATTAGATAGGGGGAAATGTCAACCTTCAGGTGTCCATGGTAAAGCAAGTATAACAACTTGAGGCTCAGGTGTTTCAGGTGTTTTCGACGTAAATGATGAAAATGTAATTGAAGTATGGCTAATGTTTGTGATGGACTGTCTAATCACCGGAATTTATTGCAAATAAATCTTGCTGCTACTTTTTTATTTGTTCTGGGTCTTAGGTGTTCTTTTGTGTTTATGGGTCTCAAAGGACGCACGCGTCCCCTAAATGTGGCCTCACTAATGTTCTATAAGATCCAAGTTTAGCAGAGGGTGGGGCTTACGGTAGCTTTCTTCTTAGACACCACAGTCTTGAGTGCAGTAGAGCACACATTCGAAATGGGGGCGTCCCAACTCAAGCTTTTAGTAATTGTCACACCGAGGTATTTTACTTGCGTTGATTCCCCGAGCCTAACGCTGCCACTTGAGTAAGAAAATGTTTTTACTGTCTTTTCTTTTATCACTCGGAGTACTGTACACTCTCTAAATTCAATGGAACTGTCCACTCCCCGCGCTACTGAGATATTTTTTGAAGAGTTCCGTTCAGTCTAATTCGATCTTCACTGGAATAGAACCATTCAACCCCAGCGCTTCCGGGGCGCACATACTCGCACAACCCAACTTGGGTGAACTGTACTCTTCACGCGAGATTTCATATACCCTTCATCTCATATCAATAGATATAGTTGGGTAAAAAAATCCAAATATTCCATCTTTGCCCAATATAAATTGTCGTCCAAAGTTGATACAAAAAAGAAAAAAGTAGCAAAGTTAAGATTTTTGCAGGTAAGAACAAGGTTCCCATCTCCGTCTTTAAGGTGTATGACCTACAGGGGTGTTCGGTTTGAAAGGTTTCACGGTCTCTCGCACGACTCGGCAGGTCGCTTCGCAAAGACGAGCCTTCACTGACCTGGAAAATTGTGCTTGGGCGTCACAACCCTGAAGGCAGACCCACCAAATTCCCTGGACATCCTGGCGACTCCGTGCGGCAAGATGACTTCGCCGACGCCGCCGCCCTGACGTCCCGACGAGAGTACGACTTCGTCCTTGCCCATCGCTACGGCGACCTCGGGCGACTTGGCCATCCCACGGGGAGACCTCGCACGCGACGTCGTGACGCTGTCTTCTTCTTCGCCGACGGCGACGACTCCAAATAGCGGCGTGAATCGCGGCGTTGACAATAATAACAACACCACCAACAACAGCAAACGAGAAAAATAACAAACGGAGGAAATATCCCCGCCGGTCCCGACAGCGCACCTCTCGAATCAACGCGCCTCCGTTTCGGAGAGGTGCTTCACTGCCGAGCGCGCCTTCTCCCCGCGACCCCGCCCCCTCTCCGTAGGATTCAAGCCCCGCCCCCCACCAATCACGGCTCTTTCAAAAGCAACCAATGGGAAAGCGGAATGTTAATGACGTTGGTAGGAATCGATTTTTTTCTTCCGTCCGTCTGCCGCAGCTACGGACAGTGAGGGGAAAGCACCGACGACTCTCGCCCCGGACGGCGGCGGGCAGGGATGTGGAAAGCAAAGGCGGGCGCCATTTTGATTATTTTGGCGCCTGGGCAGGGTTCTTGGCCGGAGCAAACGGCGTCCTGATTTCCCCCTTTCCTTTCCCCCCTACCCCCAAAACCAACCCTTTTTCTTTTTTTGGCTACGGCTAGGGATTCGGCTTGATTCTTCTGCCCGCCGGTCTCGGCGCCTGGCTTTTGTTTTGTGCTCGGCTCGCGGATTGATTTGTGGATTGGTTTCGAGCTGCTCGGGAAGATTTCCGATAGTCAGACACAGTGGCGTACACAAAGGGGGGGTGGGGGGCTGATTGGACGAGGTCAGTGCTTGGACGAGCCAATCCACAGAAAATAATGACAAAAGACCAAGCGGAAGATCAAGCAGATCCTTTCTCTTACACTCGTTTTCGTCTCCAGAAAAAAAAAGCAAGTTTTGCGCAGTGTTCATTCGCCGCGCCATGTAGTTATTACAAAATTTGGTTGTCGGAGGAAGAAGCAATGCTTTTGGTGTTTGAAACGTGTACCTCTAGATAAGATAACATATATCTAAACTGAAATGCACTACATATATCTCAATACTCTAAATAAAGGCGAAAATTAGTACTGCTCCGCAAAAAACCGGACTTTATCTTTTTCTTACTATGGTTCTTGAGGTGAAAATGACTATAAAAATAAGTAATCTAACCTTTCTTATTTTTTTTTCTCATTGTAAAGGAAGAGATAACAATAACTACAAACAACTGACACAAAATGAACCGAAAACCAACGTCGTCCTCTCCCCCATTCTCCTTTCATCTTTCTCTTTCAACGTTCTGCGTCGAATTAGGTCAGTGGTTCATTCGAGTTCAGTGTCTAGTGCACGCGCCTCTCCGTCTTCTTTGTTTCTCTTTCCTTTTTACTTTCAACCTCCCACAGCTAGATAAAAAAAACACGGACTGGCACCCCCGCCTCGCCTCGGTCAAGTTCACTCGTGACGCCTCACTGTTTCAAGTCCCGTTTGGCCTTCGTTTCGCAACTCTATAGCTGGCCATCTGCATCGGCCGCCTCCCTTCTGCGTGGGTCAGTGAGTGCGATACGCGATGCTTTCGTTTGCCGCGTGCGCGTTCGTACCGGTGCCGGCACAAAGATACGCGTCCATCTTTCGACACTCTGCCCCTCTGTCTTTGTTCACTTATATCCTTAAACTCCGGTCTGAATCAATAGGTAGTTTCAGGTTAACGTACGCAATTTTAGCGCATGCAAGCGATAAATTTAGGGATTGCGTTAGCGCACGCTACGCAAGAGAGTTTTAGAATAGCGTTTCTCCGCCGCGAAGCAAAAGCGCATGCATTTCGCGCTTGCAACGCCACCAAGATACAGTCACATTTCTCACACGAAATCCTGTAACTTGAGAAAAAACAAGTTTTTTAGTCTAGAGTAACATTTTAGATTTCTTTAAACATGAAAATGCGACGCGTGAGGTCGACCGGTCGTGTCCGCTTGGGTCGCATGGGCAGAGAAGTCTTGTGTACTGAGCTTCGCATACCGTACCTTCGCCGAGAAATGTTCGCGCGTCGCAAGCACCAAGTTGCCGGTGATCGTTGCCCACCTTACTGGGTTTTCCAAACCGAGTACAATGTCGTTCCGTATTGAAAATCGCAATCACGAGGATGCCGCCGGCGTCGCGTTTCCGACGCCGCCAAAGCGGCCGCAGACATGGTCCTGGGGGCCGCCATTTTTTACCTGTGCTCGTCTTGGCTTTAGCCAACTTCTCATCAGGAATCCTTTTTGGAGGAGCGCAAAGACTTTTTGCGTACACGCGCGATTTCCAGAAAATAGCGTAAGCTAAAACAACGCACGCAAAGCACAAAACGTGGTCAGCGTTCGGCGCATGCGCAATGTCTACGACGCTATTGTTTGCGTACAGAAAGCTTTAGCGTGTGCTATTCTAAAACTGCCTAAGAAAGAGGTCACGCGCCTGTTATGATCGAAAGAGAAAAGGCCCATGTTGTTCTTTGTAACCAACCGCGTGTGTGCACTTTTTTTTTGGAACGGCAAGCTTTACTTGCAAGGTAGTCTTGCTTTTTTCGTACTGCATGGGCTGGGTTAAGGCCCCAATCGTGCCCCCCAAGGCTTCAGAAATGCGAGCCGTCACTGCGAAGAGTGCAGACCTCTTGAATATTTCCATGTGGAAACTACATATCCTTGTATCTACACATCTGTACGATTTAAAGAAGCGTGCATATTGGAAGACATGGGCAGCCTCGGCCATGGTAACGAAAAGGACACTGCTGGACGTGTACATGGGGTCCGGAAGAAATGTCCCCGGAAAAAACGTCCCCGGAAAAAATGTCCCCGGAAAGAAAGTCTCCGGAAAAAATGTCCCCGGAAAAAAAGGTCCCAGGTGGAAAGTAGGAACAAAATGTCCCCAAAGGGACATTTTTTCCACTTCAAGTACAATCCGTTTTTGACTTTTGTGTATGAATCAAGAGTTTGTCATTTCATTCCTGATTTTGCAACAGTGCATCTCAACTGTTTGTGTTTGTGTTTCATTGTGAATAAAACATTCATAACACTTCTAGCTAAAACCAAATTATTGTGTCGGGAAATTTGAGAGGTACTTGTGTACCCTTTTCCAAATAGGTAAAAAGCGCGACACTTAACACACACAAGCGATCGCTAGTTTTTTTTTTTTTTTTTTTTAAGGGGCGAAGTTTTTTAGGGTTTAGCTTTGTCCGTCCGGCGTCCGTGCTCACATCGATTGCCATCCCATCTGTCTTCTTAAAAAAAAAAGAAAAAAATGTTTGCGCAGTCGACAGGATTCAAACCTGTGCGGGGGACCCCAATGGATTTCTAGTCCATCGCCTTAACTACGGGACGAGTAGGGGCTCTGAGATGTGGTAGTAACTCAAGAGCTGGGGATGTCATGGATGAAACGTTGCATGTAGCCGCTCAACGCCTATACAGGAGACGGCGCCGCGGTCAAATACGTATGTAATCGCGTTAAACTTTGCATGAATTGGCTCAACGTTTATAGAGGAGAGGGCGGAGGGCGCTGCGGTCAAATGCTCAAATGCGTATATAACCACGTTCTATACCACACATTCTCTTTCTGACATGGACGTGGAGATGCTTTCCCACGGCATCCAGCGGATCCAAGCTGATCCGCTAGAAGAACCACTGGCTCTGCATTTCACCGACCATAAAGCAGTAATAATGAAGTCGAAACGCAACCCGGAACTCAGCAATACCTATGAGCAATAAAAAAAAATCAGCACCATCAGCACTACCTATGAACAATAAAATCAGTATCATCAGCACCACCAGAGCTTCGGCCCAATCAACATAATTCACCACGTGGAGATGCGGTCATTTTTTTATAGAAACGAGAGGTTAATTGTCATCAAAGTTATTATACATATTGAAGGTGCTTATTTGGGGATATAATGCAAACGGTAAAATTTCGTTCTCACTAATAATCTTTCGGAGCCGTTTTCCCCTACCTGCCACACGGTGCCTCGTTTCCCAGGACATATGACCGGACCGCCCGAAGCACATGAGGATCAGGGAAACCCAGAGATAGAAAATCCTTTGGGGACATTTTTTCCTACTTTCCATCTGGGGCCTTTTTTTCCGGGGCCTTTTTTTTTTTTCCCGGCACATTTTTTCCGGGGACATTTATTCCGGGGACATTTTTTCCTACACCCCGCGCACATGGCTGCAGCATTTCAAGGGAGTGGTTGTTGAGAAGGAAAAGCCTATGGAAATCTCGACAAACATTTGCAGAGCGCAGCAGTGAAGCTTCAACGAGGAACTACCCAGCAAATTACTTTCAAAATGTAATTTAATTACAATTACAATTACTCTGCTCCAAAAGTAGTTTAACTACAATTACAATTACTAATACGTGAAAGTAATTCATTACAATTACAAATTACTTTAAAAAAGTAATGCTATTACTTTACAGTTACTTATTTCGGAGAACTAACCACCTTGGGCCACGTAACTTTAAACGAGTTATATGGCCGCTGTATAATTGTCACGTATTGTACTTTTATTAAATTTGTTAAATGAATGATAGAACTTAACAGTTTGGAGTAATAAACTCCTGCATTATTATATTCTCAATAAATAAAAATAAATTATTTTATACACACACACATAAATATATATATATATATATTAAACAAGCTCTTGACAATCCAAAACCGTAGTTGGTAAAGTTTTCGAATCTCGTCCAATCAGGTTAGAAACGGTTGGAAAAGTTAGGAGTTAGAGCAAACAGTAAATAAAGAAAATTTATGCAAAAAGGTAGACGAGGATTGGGAGAGGAGAGAGCAGTGTAGCAACAACGGTTGGAATTAAGGGGGTGTGAGTCGTGTTAAAGAGACCTGCTGCTTCTTCGCCTCGATGTTAGAGTGGCACAGCGAACTGTAAGTGGTACCAACCAACAGACGAGCTAGAAAAGAGGGACGTGAAGAACTCATAAAGAAACGAGAATAATTTCATGAACAATAAAAGTCCCCAATCTTGACTGAAATATGTAAGCGAATGTGCTAGCGACGAAGACGCGCAAGGTGAACCTCGAACCTCCCCGCC